CCTTGCCTCTAGCTATATACCTTACAAAAACGAGTTCACATAGATTTTATCATCTTTTTAGAAAGAGTTCTAACGTAGATTGTAGAAGGGGCCCCGAAATCTCAGGAACACCCCTCTATTTAAGCCAACTTATTCAAAGTCGCCTCACTTCTCAAAGCCCCCTTCATGTCTGACTTGTCTACATTTTTTATTTCCCAACTTCGTTCTCGTTCTTTGGAAAAAGGAAAAAAAAAACTTTGTTTTATCGCATAGTTGCACTAATGGCGGTTAAATAGCTACCCACAGCCGATCGAACGCACACCGACGATCAATTAACGTTTGACGTCTTTTCTTTCATCTTAATTTTCATAATGAATATTAATTAAAAGTCCATTGTGTAAATTTCATAATCGAGTTGATATTCATGTTTCTTAGACTCTTATAGCAATTTAACTTTTGGTATTATCTTCTGAAAATGGAGGAAAAAAAATTCATATCAAATTTTTATCTTAAATTTCTTTGATAGCAAATTTTTTTTCAGGGGCTCTGCCCCCGAACCCCCGATATATTTAAGCCCCCCCTCAGAACTTTTTCTGGCCTCGCCACTGAATGAAATATACAAAACGTTCAATGTATATCACGCCGTGCAAATGTTATATTTAAAATATTAAAATAGAAAATTATATCTTTAAAATATTAACTACTAACACTTAAATGACTTAATTGTTAAATTGCAGGTGGTAACTAGTGTTTTTATAGTATGGGTAAGTGTTACTTATGTTATAGTACAATAGGGGTAAATTGTATCTTACCCCTGACTTTTTTATATGGTAAAATTGATTCAATGTGTGTCCGATCTTTAGATATATCAAATGAGGTGGCCGAACCTTTTTTAAGTTTTCTAAACTCGCGAATTTAGAAGAGAGACGATATTGACAATCGATAGATGTTACAGTATTTTATTGACAAGGTTTTAACAAGGTAGTGTCACGCTCGCAAAGTTTCAAATGGATGTGTATTATTTTTTATTTCGTTTAGGTTTTGTCTGATTGGATTTTTCTAACAAGATTTTTAACGAGACATATTTCATTAAGCGAATATCCACCATTACTCACCATCTATCACCACCATTGTTCACAAATGCACCATTAAGGAGTAGTAATTCATGACCTTTGATTTGAGTGGTCTTTCTTGTGATATATCTTGTGCTATATATGGAGCATCATGTAATGTTATTTGTACAAACACGAAAGAATAAGAAAACAATATATTTATTTCTTTCTATAACGCTCTCTCAATTCCTCTTTACTTTGTAATATAGAGCAGTATATTGAAGATTTTCCAAACTTAAACCTCTACAAATTAATACAGTTAAGACCGACTTAATTCTATTAATTTAGCAAGATATTAAATTATCTATAAATTAATAATTATTAATTATATACATTAATTAAGAATTTATTAATTTATGAAGTTATTGTTATTAATTTTATTTTCAATAAATATTAAATACAATTATGGATGAATCGTTAGATGGTGAAGTTAGCCAATAGCAGCAAAATCTAATCAATGAGTTGAAGTTTCGTGAAAAAATGGTTTGTTGGATATATATCTTAAACAAATTTGAAGAAAATAACGTAACTTCAGAGATGTTGACTGACGAGTAAATAATTGAGAGCATCATGGAAAGTAATAAAGATGATGAAGTTGAAAATGATACTATAAATCCTGTTCCTCGGACGGAAGCTCTTAGAGCAACAATGTTATTGAACAACTTCTTGTTGAGTTATGGCAAATCACAAAAATACATCAAAAGTTCTTACCATACTATGTAAAGTGAGGGATTGGATTTAATGTGGTATTATGAACTTTAACAAGAAACAAAACAAATTGAATCATATACATAAATCTTTATAGATTTATCATAAATGTAAACTGTAATGTACTATATATTCGAAGAGTTATTTCTAGGCATTATTAATTTATATATTAGACTGAATGTATAAAGTTTTTAAAATATGTATGTATTATCTTATAAATTTAGAGAATTATTAATTTAGCACTTTGTTTATGAATTGGGACCGGAAAAAAAATGTATTTAAGTGATGTTATTAATCCACCAGATATTACTTTAGAGACGTGCTATTTTCACTCTCAAAATATCTTATTTCACTACAAAATTACATATAGTTCCTATTTTACTAATTTCTTCTTCTTTCACCTATATTCTGTACCGTCGACCACTAAACTAATTAAAATATTTACTAAAAAAAACTCCACCATTTTTCACTGGAATCTTTACCACAAAATCTCACCCTCTCCACCTTAGGGGAACAATACTTTCATCAGAGAAAAACATCTCCGAAGGTCAAAAGAGCAGGCGTTCACGTTCTTGGAGAAATGAATTAATTAAAAGTGCTTGTATGGAATGTCTTGAACTTCCTCCAAAATTGGCTATGTTAGCTTAATATAATTCCGTATCCTAAAAAAAATTACATAATCTGTAGGTCATCTGATATAAAAGTTTAAATATTTTGTATTAAATATTTCGTTGCAAAAAAAAATATAGAAATAACTTAGAACACATGAATATTAAGCGAATATAAAGAAGGATGTTGGTGATTAAAAATTTGAAAGATATTTATGATATTTTATATATTCTTAGATGTGAATTAAAATATTTTAAAGGTGAAAATAACACCAATCTTAATTTATGGAGGTTTTACTGCCGTCGTACTCAAGTCACATGGTCGAGTCCCCAAGGTCTCATATTTAGTGCACCTAATTTCAGGTCACATCATTTTTTGTGCATCCAATGCACCGAACAAGTAGTTCAAAAATTGAAGGCAATAAATCATCTTAATTGCCAACTACTCTCGCGCGTGAATCTTGCCTTCTATCCTTTACTTCATCTCCATACTCATTTATTTCACCAATTGATTGATTCTCCTTTTAAATAAATTTAAAAAAATAAATAAATAAAAGAAGTTGCCATGGCTTTATTAAACCCATTTTTGGAATGTCCACAATATTCTCAAATCTCAACTACTCCTTCTATTAAAATGACTATTGTTTTACCTTGGACTCGAATTGGATTGGGTCGATCGATTATCGACCTAAAAACCGACTCAGCCGACAAATTAATTTTGCTCAAATTTGAAAACCATTGTCGAACCAATCTTTGTGGGTCAGTTGATGGTTGACAACCAAATATTTGGTTCCGAAATTGATCGGTTGATGAGTATACTCGCTACCTAGTTCACTTCAAAAAAATTTCAAGTAAAAGTATGCACATTCTCCCCAAGTACCACTCGGCATTATCGTCTATCAGTTTAAAATAGTTAATAGCAATTCGATAAAATTATAATTTCGAAATTCTAACTAATTTCATACATTCACATTCCCAAATTCTTGTCGAAGATTTATGTCAATCGTTTTTTCTTGTTGATTTTTTTTTTTTAATTTTAAATCATAACTATTTTGATAATTTCTATACTCACTGGAAAAAAAAAAACGCACCCTTTGTTTTATATATATATATATATATATATATATATATATATATATATATATATATATATATATATATATATATATATATATATATATATATATATATATATATATATATATCAACTTTTAATAGTATTAGAAACCATCAACCGACCCATTATAGATGGGTTGGTCAAATTTTTTGACCCGATCTAATGGTTCAGTTAAAAAATTATTATTCACCTGAAAATATGATCAGTAATGGGTAGATTGCTGGACAACAATCAATCCAATTCTGGCCATAGTTTTAGCTACATATGTATTAGGAAAACTAATACTCCCTCCGTTCCTAAATATGTGTCGTTTTTCACCTTGGCACAAATCTTAAGAATCTCAATAAATATGTCTTGATTTTAGGAAAATAGATATTGATGGACCAAAATACCCTTGTTTATTAATTAATGCATGAAGAGTGTTATAGAGTTAATAAGGGTAAAATTGAAAAATAAGTAATTAATGCAGCATTGGAATTGTAAAGTGACAAATAATATGGAACAAAAAAAATTCTCAAAAGAGACAAATATTATGGAACATAGGGAGTAATATGTATTGTTATTAGGAAAAATATATGTAATAAGACTAAATTACCCTTCCATTAATTCTCTTTTTAATAACTACTCTCCATAATGGTGAGAATTAATGTTCGCTGGAATTTAAGATTAATAAGAGCAAATATGAGAAAAGTTTTCTCAATTTTAAAATAACTGTGGATTTAGTTTGTGCGAACTATTAAATACTCCCTCATTCTCTTAATACTTGTCACTTTTGCCAGTTTTTTACATTTCAAATTATTTGTCATTTTACTATTCCAATTAATAATTAATTGTAATCTTTTCAATTTTGCTTTTCTCACTCGTAATTAATTGAAATATAATTAGTTAAAAATCAATTAATGGCATGGGCATTTTAGTGATTTACTATACTTTTTGTTATTATCTATGCATATTTATTGAATTTCTTAATATATGTGCAATTAACAAAAGTGACAACTATTGAGGGAAATAATGAGTAACTCAATAACTATAATAAATATGAACGAATTTTAGGAAATAACACATAGTGTGACTAAATACTCATATACTCACTCTGTCCCATATTATATGTCTTTTTTAATTGGGACGGAGGGAGTAATTACTAACTTTATTTTCATTAACTCTGTCTCAAGCAAGTAATAGTAACAAGCCCAATTTTGACAAGACAATAATTAATCTATCATTAGAATGCTTAAGTGACAGACAAATAGCATGAAACAAGAAAAAATTCTCAAAGCGACAGTTAATTCAGGGCGGATGGAGTAATTAATACAAAAACGGTGGATAATATAAATAAATAAAAAATAAAAAAATAAAAAATCAAGATGAATTGACCGAGTGAGTAATACATGTTGGTAAAATTGGTTGAGGGTTATGTAATTAATTTTTGCAATACAAAGAAATTTTACCAATACCAACTCATTTATATAAACCTCAAACACCTCAACCTACAAACCAAAACAAACAAAGAATTAAAAAAAATGGCCATTCCATTCAAAATTTCAGCTCCTCACACCACTCTCACAATCACAACCACCACCACCATATTATTACTATGCTTAGTGTGCGCCGCCGATCAATCGACAATTCACCGTCCGATTCGCCCTTTCAGAAGCGTGTACGCATTCGGCGACTCGTACACGGACACCGGCAACACCCGGTCCGACTCCGGCCCGAGCGGTTTCATGTTCGTCTCCAACCTCCCGTACGGACGCACATTCTTCCGTCGCCCCACCAACCGATACTCCGACGGCCGCCTAGTCATCGACTTCGTGGCCCAAACCCTGTCCCTGCGGTTCCTACCGCCGTACCTCGATCCGAAGGCCGATAAATCCTCCGGCGTCAACTTCGCCGTGGCGGGGTCAACGGCTATAGTCCACAGCTTCTTTTCGAAGAACAATATGAGTCTGAATATAACGCCGCAGTCGATTCGAACGGAGCTCGATTGGTTCGATAAGTTGTTGCTGGAAGGGAAAGGGTGCCGGGATTCGGTTACGACGCCGGAAGAGTGTGCGCGTGTGTTTAACGATGCGTTGATTTGGGCCGGTGAGATTGGAGCTAATGATTATGCATACAGTTTTGGATCCTCTGTTCCTACTAAAACCATCCAAGAACTTGCCATTAATAGTGTCACTTCCTTTTTAGAGGTAAACTTAACTACTTTACACCTCCACTGTGTGTTTTCTAGTGTTGGTAATTTTCTTTGGAAAATAATCTATTATTTATTTTGGATATATATACTACAATATGCATACACACAATATGTGATGGATTCATTTGGAATATATTAATTTTGGTTTTCACCAGGTTATAGATTCTGTTGTGGAAATTTATGGTTTTGATAAAAAAAACACTTTAATAAAGGGTAAATTACGAAAAACCCAGAACTTAAGCTAAATAACAAAAAACACCCCAATTTTTCGCAATTACAAAAAAACCCCTAAGGTTTGTTCCGTCTTACACCAATCCGCTTACAATATGACTTTTCACGGATTTTTTTTCCAGGGAATAGAATTAACACAATTTCAGATATTTTATTTAAATTTATTTCTCACCTATTTAACATAAGGTATAGTAGTCTGCACAATTTTCCATTAAAACACTTGATCAACAGAGTTAATCAGAGGGGGATTTTGGATATTACAGTGGTGGTGTTTTTCGTTATTTAGCCTAAGTTCAGGGGGTTTTCGTAGTTCACCCTTTCATAAGACATGAAATACTTTTCAAAACTTTAATTTGGGAAAATTACACTTTTCGTCCCTGGAGTTTGCCTCGATTTCACATTCGGTCCCTCTAATTCACAAAAAAACAAATTTAGTCCCTCATGTATCAACAATTTAAACAGTTTGGTCATTTCCGTTTATTTTTCGTTAGTTCTAATAGAATCAAGCATGTTGCCCGTCTCTTTCTCAACTGACGGACTAAAAGTAAATCTACGAAAATGACCAAAAGTGTAAAACTGTTGAAATATGAGTGACCAAATGTGTTTTTTCGTGAAAATGGGGACCAAATATGAAATCGGTGCAAAATTGAGGGACTAAAACTACTATTTTCCCTTTTTAATTCACAAATACCTTATATTATACGTATTAAATTGGGAATCACTAATCTTACAAACTATGCCATGAAAATTGACACAAGTAAGAAAAAATACCTTTATGTGAATCATCAATTACACCCATCCTTTTTTATAATTCCATGCATAATAATTAATGTAATATTATGTTGTGTTTTGAATATGTAGGCATTGCTAAAAAAGGGTGCAAAGTATGTAGTTGTTCAAGGCCTGCCTCCGACGGGGTGCCTAACATTGTCGATGTATCTAGCTCCGTCAGACGACAGAGACAGCTTCGGCTGCGTAGGGAGCGTAAACAACCAAAGCTACGCCCACAACGTTGCCCTCAAAGCCAAACTCCGACTCTTCAGAAAACAATTCCCCAAATCAACCATAGTCTACGCCGATTATTACAACGCGTATTTGGACGTGATAAGAAATGCGGAAAAATACGGTATAAAGAATCTTTACGGAGTGTGCTGTGGATATGGGAATGGAACTTACAACTTCGATTATTTCCATGCGTGCGGGTCCCCTTCTTCGACCTCGTGTGGCAACCCTAACGAGTATGTTAACTGGGACGGGGTTCATCTCACTGAAGCTATGTATAAGGCGGTGGCGGATTTGTTCCTCAATGGTACGACTTATATGCAACCGCCGTTTAGTTATCTCTTGAGCAAGAAACTGAAATCGGGATAGAGATCGATGTAAGAGAAGTCGTTTAATTTTTTAATTTTTTTTTTTTTTTGGTGAGCTTTTGATTGTGGCAGAGTAGAAGATGGTGGAGTTGAGATGTGTTGTAATTGAGAGGAGATTAAATAATGATAATAAAACTGATTTATATGCAACGAACGATATTTAGCATCGGTTTCTTTTCCGAATCAGGTTATATTTCATGAAAGGTTATCGTGAGAAGAAACTAGATGATATACATTATACAAGCATTGTAATAAGAGAAAACGGGACAAACTCAATTCTTGTTTATCTCGTCGAAATTTTCATCGAAATTTTTAGTGATTCCTACGATTTCGGTTAATGAATAAAATTTAAATAAATTAACTGTGTACAAAAGAGAGGTCTCATATTCACAACCAAGCAATGCAGCAAACAGACAGCAAACATGATCGTCTATTCAGCTCGGGATGTCAAGATTTCGAACATAAAAAATCAAATTGTAAAACAAATTATTACTCTCATCCCCGAAATAGATAAACATCAGTCACGAAAAATCAGAAGAAACAAAATCACAAAAAAAATAAAAATAAAATCATAAAGACCGTATCGAACAATAACGGAGCACTACTATTCCATCATCACTGCAACTCCTTCAGACCGCCTTCACCGACAATGGGGGGCGGAATAAAGACTAAGAATATGGAAAATGGAATTCCGACCGCCACCAAGAGATATTTGAATATCTAATTCCGACATGTTTTACTCACTTTATAATTTTTTTTAGGATTCCTGCATATTTATTAGTTTTCTTCATAAACAACAAAAAAATAAAAAAATAAAGAAGAAAAATGTTCCGGATTTCCTTTGGTAGAAATGTGTTTCCTGAAACATTGAAATATTCACGGAAACGGCCTCGAAACATTTCGGATGTTAGCGAACACCTAAACGAGTTATTATAAATATGCAATAATCCTAAACACAAATTTATAACATGACCAAAATATCCAACTCATTAATTATTTTACAATTAAGCCTATTTCTCAACTAAGTAAGAATAGTAGTAAAGGGTAAATTTGTAAAAATCACAATAATTTGCACTATTTGGAATTCTAGAAATTATTTGATTCAAAACAAAAATCTCAAGACGACGAGTAATTTGGCACGGAGGCACTATTAGTTCGAGCTCGAATTATTCGAACTTTTGTCGAGCAAGGTCGGATCAACTCATCTATATCCATATAAATAACCTATAACCTGGTTTCAAGCCATTCACCAAAAACCATAATTCGACAATCAACACAGACAATAACCGAAAACAACTAGATACATCTAAATTTCGAACAACGTTAAGAATAAATCTCTTATTTATATAAATATTTGTCTTCAAACTATTGAAGAGCATAAATATTACATTATTATTCACAAATTTCTGTAGCAGTTATACAGGTGAGACCGCACAGAGAATTGAGTGGGCGAAAGGGGCTACCGGACTCTATCGACACGGATTTAATGGTCGGCATTTCACTTTCATTTTCAACTACTAACCTCGTATTATTATTATATATCATAATAAATATTCATAGTAAAATAAGAAGAGAGCATTAGGAATATCTTTAGGCAAGCTGTTTATATAGAGGTAGAAACGCAGCATATCTTCTTTAGAAAGCGTTTCTTGATCTACTACGTCTTCGTTGCATGTCATCACCCATAAATCCCCTGAGTTGACTCTCTTTATGCTGCCTCGACAGAAGGGGCATGATTCTGATCTCATATTCCTGTCGTAACATCGAGAAAAGGACAAAGTAAATCTCAAAGAACAAATATTGATGAATTTGGATTTTAGAGAAATTGTTTTCTGCGTTTTTATTTGTTCAGCTTTTGTTTTAAGAAAAACGGGCTAGATCGATAGGAACAATGATACGTAACTCGTCGTGCTTATAGTTATTGACCCATTATTGGTTAGGCTAGGTAGGGGGTGGAAATTGGACCTCCGAATTTTGCCGATTTCGACCCGAAATTTCACGTGGAACAATTATTTTCATTCCGAATTCCAAAAGTTCTGATTTTTCCGGTTTTTTTTTTTTTGGAATGGAATTGGAATACATATTAGATTCTAATTTCCGATCTGATTTTATTTCATTAAAATTTCCGAAAGTTACTCTTATAATATAAATATTATTGTATATTTTATGTTATAGATTGGAATTACCGAATTCCCATCCCAAAAATCCCAATTTTGGAACAATTTTTTTCATTTCAATTTCCGATTTTCTTAACGGAATTGGAATTAGTTTTTCACTTCTGAATAAAAAATTGAAATTTTCCCGAAAGTGCCAATTCCAATCTGATCCGTCCAATTTCCACCCCTAAAGGACATCACTAAAATCTTCGTTAAAAAATGAGAATTAAGGATTTGAAATCCATGAATATCGAAGAGCAATCTATAACACATTTTAAGAACAAAGTTGTTTCAAAAGATTAAAGAAAAAAACGGGAGTCTGGTGTTCTTACCAGTCACGGTAGCAGTTGATGCACATTGCATGACAGCAATTAGGCAAAACCATCTTCGTGCAAGCCTCTAAGCAAATTCCACATTCATCTTCTCTCTCCAAATCCACATCTAAACAAGCCCTTTTATTAGATTCCGTTTTCTTTTTCGTCACCATTTCAAATCGATTAATTTCATCGTTGTAACTGTCTATCTCCACCGAGTTGTCGTATAGGTGCTCAAGAGACGGTAATATCACACCTGTCAAGTTTCACAAACCCCTTTCAGCAAAAAAAACGTGTATCGAACGTTTTTTTTCTTATCACGTGTTTCCATAAAAAAACTCCGAATAATGTTTAATACGATAGCCGAAAAAAAATCGTAAAAACCAAAATAACAAATTCTCTTACAGCCTAATATTTTTTTTTTTGGGAGAACGAGCATTTTTCTTGGTTTATTGGGAAATTGTGCGTTAGTCCAAAACTATATAGTTTTGCGGCCTAATAAGATTGTGGCAACGAAATGAAACCTAATCAAATGTGCTTGATAGAAATTAGTTCAGTTGTTTTCATGAAAATATCGCTCGTTTATTAGACTTAGGCCCTGTTTGGTAGAACCAAAAAAAACACACTAGAAGGCAAGATAAGCCAAGATAAGGCAAGATAAGCCATGATTACATAATTTTGGCGGGTCGACCCGGTAATTTATTGGGGATACCAAACATCAAGTTAAGTCCAACTATTTAGTTAATCTTGGTTTATCTTGCCAACCAAACGGGGCCTTAGCACATTAAGAATTGCCTTCAATCACACTTATATACACTAACTAGATTTGAAGTCCCTATGTAGAACAAAACGGCAAATATAATAAGCATACCGTAGAATTGTCCAATGCTTGCTTTTCGACCGTGCGACGGAAACTTCTGCTTATTGTCAAGGTGCACCTAAAGAACATACCGGAGCAAGCTTAAGACAAGTTCGTAATCTTAAAATTCAAGAAACAGAAACAACTTCCAAGAATGCAGGTAATTCTACCTTGTAAACAACTATATGGAAAAGATTTAGGTAACTCGGAAGCAAACATGAGGAAGAGCAATTCAACCATTGCAACAAGAACAAATAAACGGGCGCCAAGTGATTGTACTCCAATTTCATTTGCAGGCATGCGCAGCCTTTGGCTCTCGAAATAGAAGCTGCCCTGAAAACGAAAAAACTCGGCCTATTAATATCTCCGTGAAATAAAACAAACTCGGAATGCAAAATACACATGTTACGTACATGGCAAAAATGCGGTGAATTGTGCATTCGAAAAACCCAGAAAAAGATATACACCGTTGATTAATATGATCATACAAGTACGAATCATTATCAAGAATCCGATTTACGGAAGACATTCGGGACAGAAAATCACTGTCGGAACTTAGAACCTAATCTACATTACTGTTTTTTCCACCATGAAAATGTGTCTTTTCGTATTAATTAATCGGAAATTATTTTAAATTGCAGGTGTCTTGTGATCCTAATTGATAATATTAAAAAGATTTATCATTCACCAAGACCAGAGTCAAAGCACACCAGAATTTATAAAAAATGGTAATAAAAAAAAAAAAAAAAAAAAAAAAAAATTATATCTCACACAAGAATTGTTCTTTTTGGAATTTTAACAGACTTATGGGATAATCAGCACACACACACACACTAAAAAATAAAAAAAATTGCTTATGGGATTAAAAGAAAATGAAACTAGCAAGTCAAACCGAGGAAAAGGCAAAGGATAAAGCAATAAATAAATTAAAAATAAAAAATAAATAAAAAAAGGCATCTTTAACTCCAGAAAATCTGAAAGATTATCCACTAGATAGCTAAATTCAAGTACAAAATCCACCAAAAATTACCAAATACGCAAACTTTACAATCAAAAAAAAAATGAACCACGAAAAGCATTCAATTTAGAACAAACATACACTAAATAAAAAAAAAAAAAAAAAAGGAAAGGAAGGAAAGGAAAGGGGAACCCCCCAACATATTGGCGTGCTGAATGTCAGACTCAACGGCCTTCAGAGAGTCTTGGCAAGAAGGAGCCTGTTCCAGTTCATAGTACTCCATTTTTCCCTCAAAGATCAAACCTTTTTTTTAGAGAGAGAAAGACAAGGTAGAGAGAGAGAGAAAAAGAGAGGGGGCAAAGAGAAATTGGTTCAAAGCTTCAAAAAGTGAACTGGCCAATTTATAAATAAATAGAGATTATAGACTAGAAAGTTTTAGACTTTTCTTCTGAAACCGGTGTGTGTTTGTGTGTGTTTTTCTTTTTTTTTTTTTTTTTTTCTTTTGAAGAGAGAGGGTCAGAGGGGGGGGGGGGGTGGTATAAAGTGTAGAAGAAGTAACAGGGCTAACAAAAACAGAGAGACCTAATCAATTTTTTTGAATAACTCTTGCAATAAATAATAATGAAAAAAATTGAAAAATTGGAAAAAGGGGGTTTTGGTCATTGGCAGTAGTTAATGAGTTATGATTGTTGTTGTTGACTGACTACAATCTCATGCCTTTGACTTTTATGGTAACAAAATCTTCTGCTTCAGATTTTTACATATATATCATTAAATTATTACCTTAACATTGTTTTTTGGTAATTAACACATTTTATTTTTTTTCTTTATCCGTACGAGATATTTGGATAAGTAAATATCTAGACACCTCCACGTTTACAAACGGGTCGGTCCATACCTAAATTGGATCACTGGGCATGGGTCGGTTTTTTTCGTCAACCGACTTACTGTCGATCTACTCCTTCCGTTCTATTTTAATTGTCCTTTTTTAGCTTTTCACAAAGATTATAATTTCATTAAATGTGTCTTGATTTTTGAAAAATATATGCTTTTAGACTAAAATGACCTTGTCTTATAATTAATAAGAGAGATAAATTAGTTGAAGAAAGAGTATTGGAAAGAGTTAATAGGGGTATAAACTGGAAATTAAGTAATTAATGAAATGTTGGAAATTTAAAGTGACAGATAATATGGAACAAAAAAAATCTTCAAAGCGACAGATATTATGGAATGGAGGAAGTACTTTTCTTTGATTGATAATTGATAATTAACCAACACATATACTCGGGACGTTAATTTTAACTGAATGTAATAGCTGGGTCAGTCGATAGTTTTCAATTTACTCAAAAGTCGGTCAAAGGATATTACCTGACCAACTGATTTTTTTTTAATAATTCAAAATTACTAAGAATGTTTAATTGTAATTCTTATTTATTTTAATGTTAAAATAATATATAAAAGAAGTCAAAATTATAACATGCAAAAAAACAAATTTTAATAAACATTTGAATACTATTTTTATTTTATAATTCTTATTTCACATTCTTCGTTAAATATTTAATTATTGTAGAAATTTAGTAAAAATATAAAGTTAGGATTTTTGCAATATAATTTATTTCAAAATTTTAAATATCTTCTGAAAAACTTTTAAAACATCTATTTATTGTTAAAAATAAAAATAAAAAAATTTGATGGATGAAAACACCAACCATGAACCCATTTTTCATTATCAGGTCGATAATAGTCTTTAATATTTAGGAAAATTGATTAGTCGGATCGGGTAGATAATTGGTCGATAATTACGTGATTAGGGGTGGAAATTGGAACGAAAATTCCGATTTCCGCCGAATCCGATCCGAAATATTCCGATTTTGGAACGACTTTTTCAATTCCGAATTCCGAAATTCCGATTTCCGAAAATTCCGAAAAAAATCGGATCGGAATCGGAAATACATAACAGAATTTCGGAATTTCCGATTTCCGATCCGAAATTATTCCGATTATTTCCGATTATTTCCGATTTATTCCGATTTTTCTAATTATTATAAATATTTATTACTATATATAATATATACTATGTCTATAGATATCCGCAGTCTGCACTAATTATTAGTAATATATATTAGTATATTACTAATATTTTTCCAATTATTATATATATATATATATATATATATATATATATATATATATATATATATATATATATATATATATATATATATATATATATATATATATATATATATATATATATATATATATATATATGATATACCTTAGTGGGCCGGCCCAATGGGCCCCCAAATTATTGGGCCCCCAAATTTATCCAATAATTAGGTCTACTACACGAAAGCCCAAGCACTTTCAAAGTAAGGCCTGAGCCCAACAAAGAAAGCCCAACCCAATCAACAAACATATAAATAGATGTTTTACTCATTTGTAAAGGTACGTTCTAATTATTCACAATCAATCTCGAGTGTTATTCTCTCTACTATCTCTACGATCCGTACATCTGACTTGAGCGTCGGAGGGGTTTCCGCCGGATCAACCCCCGGCTTAGTTCACGTGTGCTCATTTCGCAGGGACCTCGGGATCATCAAGTTGACTAGCTACTGATCAGCTTTGCTCTCCCAGCTCGTTTTCTATACTACTCCGGTGAGCTATATTTTAGCATCATCATTTTGGCGCCGTCTGTGGGAACGATGCAAACCAGATCACGTAGCCAACAAGATCCTCCTGAGGCGTCAGCTCAGAGAGAAAATGACACAGCTAATAACCTCCCAGTCCGTGGAGGATCTGGCATGCCACCTCCTCCACGTGCCGCAGAGCCACTTCCTCCACGTGCCACGGAGCCAGCTCCTCCACGTGCTGCAGATCCACCTCGCGAGGTTCAGGTGATCCCTCCTCGGGACCCAACACTCGCCGATCCACCACTCCCTGCTCCTCGAACGGTCCAAATAACCGAGGACGCGCTCCAACGCATGATAGCAGAAGCCTCAACTCGCGCCGCCACGGAGGCCGTAACTCAATATATCGCCACGATGGGAGCAAACGCTCCCAACGCGATACCAGCGCCAGCTCCACCTGTAGCGCCACCTGTGGCCCCACCGCCAATCCAGAATCAAATAAGTGTCTCCTCCTCTACCTCGGACCCACGGTCCCGAGTGCAGTTATCTACTAACCACAGAGGGGCACAACCCAGACAGCAGCGTCGGCGCTCACCCCCACGGGGGAATGCGTCACCACAGAGAGTCCCTCTCTTTAATGAGGGAGAAGGCGAGGTAAACAGCAGAATGTCTCGTCAAAATATTTTCCCCCAACCAAATAATCTAATGGGTGAAAGAACGACTGTCCCAACAAGGCGCAGTCCCTTCACCATAGACATTCTCAACGAGGTGTTACCTCAAGGAGTCAAGATCTCGGGGTTACCTCAATTTGAAGGGACCACCGACCCACAGGAGCATATAGAGAAATTCAGTGCCATGGCGGATTTATATGGCCCGACGGATGCTGCGATGTGCAAAATGTTCCGCACCACTCTCTCCAAGAGGGCAATGAATTGGTTCAACTCTCTACCCATAGGGTCGATTGACACCTTCGCTCGGTTGTCAACTCGGTTCACCAACCAGTGCGCCATCAACAAACAATATGCCAAGACCCCAGCTCATCTTTTCTCTGTAGTACAGAGAGACAACGAAACACTCCGCAACTACATTAAGCGTTTCGTAGAAGCCGTCCATGAAGTCCCCAGTGTAGGGCAAGACATGCTCTCCGGTATTATGCAGCAAAACTTGAAACCGGGTAGATTCAAGGAATCTATCGCCGGAAGACCCCCAGGCAACTTAGAGGAATTGCTAAATCGAGCCGAAAAATACGTCCGGATAGAGGAAGCCTCTACCCATGCTCCTCCTAAAAGGAAAAGGGAAGATGACCGTCAGGACAATAGGAGGCGCGATGATCGACGTCCACCACTTCCACCTCAAGGCCAACCCTCTTCCTCCTACAATAGGTTCACTCCGCTAAATGCTCGCCTCACTAAAATCCTTCACGTGATAGAACAGAAAGGTTTAGCAGAGCCTCCACGTCCTATGCAGCCAAATGCAAAGCGAGAAAAGTCGGATCGTTATTGTCGATTCCATAAGGACAGAGGGCATACTACGGAGGAATGTGCACAACTCAAAGTGGCGATTGAGAGGCTGATCAAACAGGGCCATTTAGGCGAATACATTGATAAGCCTCGAAATAAGCGCCGTGATGATCCTCCACGCCGAGACAATAATCGAGATCAACCTCAAAGACGAGAGGATGGGGGTCACCGACGTGATCCAGATAACAACGATAACCAACCCACCAGGGGAATCATCTCCTTTATCTCCGGAGGACCGGTGGGTGGCGATTCACAAAATACAAGACGCACCCTCGCTCGATCAGCACGCATGAATCAAGAACGTGCTTCTCCATCCGCACGCATCTATCAAATACGAAGACCTGATCATAGCATAGTCTTCAACTCCTCCGACCTTGAAGGTCCAGATGAAGATCATGTCGATGCGCTAGTAGCAACAACAACGGTGGCCAACTTCTTGGTCAAGAAGATATTAGTGGACGGTGAGAGCTCAGCTGAGATAATGTACCTCCACGCTTTTAAGCAGCTGGGCATAGATAATGCCCGGTTTAATCCCATCTCCACACCCCTGAAAGGATTCACAGGAGAATGCATTTTGTCCATGGGAGAAGTGGAGCTGCCCGTTTCTCTAGGGGAAGACCCTTGTCGAATCACAAAACTAATCAAATTCCTCGTCGTCGACAAGCTATCCCCCTACAACATCATTCTAGGGAGGCCAGCAATCCATACATTCAAATCAGTGCCTTCCTCCTGCCATCAGAAGTGGAAGTTCCCTACTCCCTATGGAATGGGGGAGGTACTCGGAGATAGACGTCTCGCCCGAGAGTGTTATGCAAGGGCCCTACGAGAACCTTCTAAGAAGCCTAAACCACCCGGGAGGGGAGACGACACCCAAAAATCCGACAAGCGGAAGTGGGTCAACGCAATCATTGAGGATAATAAAGAAATCCTCATCAGTGTACCAGATGACAGCATCAAGCTAGCAGCTGTCGAAGAGCTTAAGCTCATAGAGCTCACTCCCGGAGATACTTCCAAGCTCATACGAATAGGATCTAATTTAGATCCAACCACGGAGCAGCAGCTAATCAACTTCCTGCGACATAATGGAGATGTGTTCGCATGGAAAGCCTAAGATTTGTCGGGCATTCCTCCTCAGGTAGCCCTACATCGGCTCAACGTCGACAAGAAATTGAAACCAGTCAAACAAAGGAAGCGGACATTTGGTCCCGAACGCAACAAGCATATCAAAGAAGAAGTGGCAAAACTCCTTGAAGCGGGCCACATACGACCAGTTCAGTATCCTGAATGGCTGTCGAACGTAGTACTCGTTCCCAAGCCGGGTGGCAAGTGGAGACTATGCGTAGACTTCACTGACCTCAACAAAGCTTGTCCTAAGGACCCTTTTCCTCTACCTAGAATCGACCAACTCATCGATTCGACCTCGGGATGCGAGCTCCTCAGCTTCCTCGATGCGTACCAAGGGTATAACCAGATCTTACTTGCGCCAGAAGATCAAGAGAGGGATAGTTTCATCACTGACCAAGGCATCTACTGCTATCAAGTCATGCCCTTCGGTTTAAAAAACGCAGGAGCCACCTACCAAAATGTTCGCAGATCAAATCGGTAAAAATATGGAGGTGTACATCGACGACATGCTCGTCAAAAGTGTCAAGGTCTCGGACCACCTAACTGATCTGGATCAGTGTTTCGCGACCCTGCGAAAATATAAGATGGAGCTCAACCCCCTCAAATGTTCATTCGGAGTTCGGGGAGGCAAATTTTTGGGTTATATGATTTCGCAGCGAGGAATCGAAGCTAATCCCGCGAAAATCAAAGCAATCACCTCCATGGCTCCGCCAACATCGATCAAGAAAGTTCAACAGCTCAACGGCTGTTTGGCATCCCTGAACAGATTCATTTCAAGATCAGCGGACAAGGCTCTCCCCTTTTTTCAAGATTTTAAGGGGAGGAAAAAATTTCGAGTGTGATGAGGCATGTCAAAAAGCCTTCACTGAGTTAAAGTCATATCTCGCATCACCACCCTTGCTTACAAAACCTCAACCGGGAGACATCCTCATGCTTTACTTAGCTACCTCGGCTGATGCCATCAGCGCAGTCCTCATCCGAGATGGAGGAAAAGGTCATCAACCCATATACTACATAAGTCGCGCCCTCCAAGGAGCCGAACAACGCTATACCAATATGGAGAAGCTCGCTCTCGCCCTCATCAACGCAGCTCGGAAACTTCGACCCTACTTCCAGTCGCATCAAGTGGTGGTTCTCACCAATTATCCTCTGAAGCAAATACTAAGAAGTCCCGAGACATCTGGGCGATTAGCAAAATGGGCAATAGAGCTAAGCGAATATGGAGTGGAATTCAAACCACGCCCAGCTATCAAAGCGCAAATATTGGCTGACTTTCTAGTAGAAATGACCTCAGTAGAAGAAATCACCTCTCTACCAACTTGGTCCGTCAGCGTCGATGGATCTTCCACTGCCACAGGAGGTGGAGAGGGTATCGTCCTAACGAACCCCGACGGAGACGAATTCAAATATGCTCAACGATTCGAATTCACAGCCTCAAACAACGTAGCTGAATACGAAGCATTGATAGCGGGAATCCGCCTCGCCCTGGCAGCCGGAGCGCGCAAGCTCCTAATCCAAAGCGACTCTCAGCTCGTAGTCAACCAAATACTCGGAGCTTACGAGGCTAAAGAAGACACCATGGCCAAATACTTAGCTCTCGCGCACACTCTCTTATCTAAATTCGAGAGTTACGAGATAAGACAAGTACCTCGCTCCAATAACGTCTATGCTGACAAATTAGTTAGGCTTGGAAGCTCCATGGCTAGCATCGGAAGTCGGAAGGTGACGCTCCTCACCTCACCTCAGCCGGAGATAACTTCACCCACTGAAGTACAGTACACCGAGGAGGATGAACCATGCTGGTTCACTCCAATCCTGAAGTATCTCAAGAAAGGAGAACTTCCAACGGATCCCACCGAAGCACGAAAATTAAAAACGAGAGCCGCTCGCTTCGTCATAGTGGGAGAAGAGTTGTACAAACGAGGATTCTCATTCCCCTACCTCAAGTGCCTCGACCCGACCACAGCGGATTACGTAGTTAGAGAAGTACAGGAAGGCATCTGCGGCAATCACTTGAGCGGGAGAACCTTAGCTCTCAAACTACTGAGGCAAGGATACTATTGGCCAACGATGCATGAAGACGCGAAGAAGTTAGTCCGGAAGTGTAAGCCTTGCCAAGAGCATGCAAATATTCCTCACCTACCAGCGGCATTAATGCAACCAATTGACAGCCCCATCCCTTTCGCTCAATGGGGAATGGATTTAGTTGGACCATTCCCGCCCGCCACAGGAGGACGTAAATACCTCATTGTAGCAGTGGACTACTTCACCAAATGGGTGGAAGCTGAACCCTTAGCACGCATCCGAGAAGAAGAAGTCATCCAATTCCTATGGAAGAACATCGTGTGTCGCTTTGGGATCCCACGCTCCATTATCTCAGATAACGGAACCCAATTTTGTGGTGACAAAGTAAAGAATTGGTGCCTCGGCTTAGACATCAAACAGTTCTTCACATCCGTAGTCAATCCACAGGCTAACGGCCAGACGGAGGTCACGAATCGCACCATACTCCAACACCTTAAGACAAGGCTTGGAAGCGCCAAAGAAAAGTGGGTGGACGAACTGCCTAACGCACTATGGGCTTATCGCACAACCCCACGAGCAGCAACCGGAGAGTCGCCCTTCAATCTAGCTTTCGGAACAGAGGCTATCGCACCCGTCGAAATTGGAGAACCATCTTGGCGAATCACCAACTATGACCCATCAGCTAATGAAGAGGCTATGCGGGGAAGCCTAGACCTCGTAGATGAGTTACGTGAGATTGCATACATCCGACAACAGATGTATAAATCACGCATGGCCAAGGCATATAACTCAAAGGTCCGCCCTCGCTCCTTTCAAGTTGGAGATTTAGTCCTCCGAAAAGCTGAAGCCTCTCACCCCATCGGTAAGCTCGACCCAAAGTGGGAAGGACCGTATAAAATCACAAAGGTGGTCAACACTGGAGCATATCGCCTCGAGAACATTGACGGACACCCTATGTAACGCCCCGCATTTTCATAAGCATATTATATGAAATTATATTGAGTAAATCGATGATTTCCATTTCATGAATTATCTAGTGGATGTTTATTGCATCCTAACTGCTTATGTGATCTATAATATTTTATTTAATGTGATCGACTCGATTTGGTTAGATAATTGAGTAACTCTATCTATGTGATTAAATGAATTATGTGCTTTAAACGAATAATTAATCTATGCTAATATTGATATTAAATTTAGATTATAGTGATTTGTTTCTCATGTACATGCTTAATTATAATTTATATGGTCTCATGAAAATTATGATATGATAATTAATCTATGCAATGTATCTTTAATTGTTTTACGATTTATGGTTTAATGAATGTAGATACATATATGTGAATGTTGTGCTACGTGAGTTATGATGTAGTAATTAATCTATGCAATTTATCCCTAAATGTTTTATGATTTAACGAGTATAGATATATCTGTTTGAGCTGTGTATATATATACCATGTGTGTGCCTTATGTGTGTAGTGTGTGTATGTGCCGTATATGTGCTGTACTATATATGCGTATTAAGTTGCCAGGTATTAAAGGATTAAGGAAATCATTGAATTGCAAATATTTGATTAATTGCTATTAAGACCCCAATGGTTTTAGATATTGCATTACAGTCCTTGGGAAATTTCCTCCTAATTTCCTAGTATAAGCCAAGGAAGATTCCTCCTCTTTCCTTCTCAATTTACCTGCGGCGGTTCCTTCTTCTTCTTAAAGAAGAAACGAGGATTTTGGTCTGGACTCTTCTTCCTCTCATTCCACGGCAGCTTCACCCGAAGACTCAATGAAACTCATCAAAATTTCCCCTTCTTCTCTGGGGAGTTTGACATCTAATTAATGGGATTGATTTCCCTATAAAATTCCCCAAAACCATCAAGAGGATCGGACAGGGGATAGCTCCAAGTTCAGCCCCAAAAGCCTTCAGCCAAAGCTCCGAGAATCCTTCGGTTTCCTCTTCTTCCTTGTATTCGATTTTCTTCAAAGAGGTAAGGACTTTTGGTCCTTCTACTGAATTAATGATAATAATAAGATGATGTTTATGTGATTTAATTGATTAATATGCTTAGGAATCGGATTTAGGGATCTAGGTCATGAAACATAGATTTCAACGAACCCTAATTCGATTTCCAGATTCGTAGCCTCAAGTTCCAGTGCATGTTTCATCGATGATTTATTTTCTGAAAATTATGAAATTAATTGTGCGTGTAGATATTTCTGTTAGCTTCGTTTTGATATACGGTATGCGTAATTTGGAATTATATTGATCAAGTTATGAACCGTTTTCTGAAACTGCAGGATTTCTGAGTCATCTATGATTTATGTGTTAAATTATATTTTATCTTGTTCCGATTCATGCGATTCTAACTGGATATGATTATAGACTTATAAATCTGATTCTCAGAGGAGTTTCATGGCGTTTCGTTGAAAGAATGATTTAATTGGTATTTTTAAAGTTGAATGCTCTGTTCTGAAATTCTGCTGGTGTTACTGTACTAAATGAATTATTTCTCTCCCATGGATAAGTATTTTACTGAACTGTTTTAACATGGTATAAATCATATACATGTGGAGGTTTTGTGGAAATTTCATAATGCTTGTATGTACGGTTTAAGAGATATGAATTTCCAAAGTTGAAGTGCCGAATCTGCCAGATTTCCTTGTAGTTCTTTGAAATAGAAAATGTGGATTTGGATTTCATATATTATATGCGTACGTGCTATTATGATTATCGTATGCTTATATGTTAACATAAATGTATAACCTAGAAAACGCATGAATTGCATTTAAGATAATCACGTTGGTATGTTATAATTATGAAAGTGGTTATATGAAATAATATGATAATCCCCTTCTCTTGTATGTGATACCTCTTGTATGTGGTACGTGTATGTTGAATAATATATGTGAATTAGAAGAATGTTTATTTATGCAATTTGAATTGATTATGTGAGTTATTTGAAGAAGAAACTCTAAGGGAGAAAATGGTTTGAATATGTTTGTTAGCTATTTGGTTATGTGTTATATGGTTACGTGTTTTATGCTAAGTGTAAGTTCGATCTAACATGCTTATATTATTGGAGTCCAATGATGTGTCATTTATGGTACTGCATGGTCAAGTGTAGGAAAGTCAGAATCGTAATATGGTTATCGGTCGAGTAGACACGGGAATACGAGGGGCCAGTATTCCAACTACGGTACTATAGACTAGAGTGGGTAGCTCCCCTCAAAACAGGCTCAGAATATCGACGTCTATTACCGATAACCATGTTATGAATCTGCTAGGGATACCGTCACATTATAGTAATTGTATTGACATAAGTATGATTATGTTTATTTATACGTTTTGAATTGTTTATATGATTTGTCATTTATGATATTGCATGGTCAGTATAGGAAGTCAGAATCTTAAATGGCTATCGGTCGAGTAGACACGGAAATACGGAGGGGCCGGTATTCCAACTACGGTACTATAGACTATAGAGTGGATAGCTTCCATTAATAAACGGGCTCAAAATATCGACGTCTATTACCGATAACCATGTTATAAATCTGATAGGTATCCCGTCATATTGCATTTATGCGTTATATATGTTAATACAGACTATAGAGACTTGATGTCTATATGTACTACAACTAATTGGTCGATGCATCCCCATGTTAATACAACATTTTGTTTATGTGAGTACACCTTGTGAGTATACGTTAAGCAGGGGAAACTCGTCGCCCATGTCAAGGTTGAGGTTCTCGAAGCAGTTATGGAAACTGGTGGAGCGGAGTTCGAGGAATCACGAGCTTTTATACCGACCGACTATTTTCAAAGATTATATCAGTCACTTTCTCTTTAAGTGTTTTAATTTGAGAAGTTTTTATAATGTACTCTCCTTAGGAATCTAGTCTATTAAACCGGGGTGTATGTAAAATAAAGTTATTTTGTGTTCCGCTGTATTACAAGTATTGCTTTAAAACCCCGTCTATGTTGAAGTAGCACTCTTTATGAAAATTATATCTTTCAAATGTGGGTTATGTTTTGAAGAAAGAAAAATGCTTTGACGATTTCCAAACTTATTTTCTAAAGGATCAAATAGGATCCGAAGGTTTTAATAAAGTCCATTTTTCTAAAAACTATTCTTAATTATATAAACGACATGGAGAGTCTTACACCCTATACCCAGAACATGGAATATAGGGAACCTCAAACGGTTCTACGCCTAAGGTATACATCTACCTTACTTCAGATCAGTTGAGATCATCACCCATATTTCTTCTATATGAAAGTTACTTACGAATTGTCACCCGTGCAGGCTCCACGACCTTCCACGTCACTCGTCTTGTAAAGCTGCTTCTACATGGTTGGAAATTTGACACCACATAACAAGGTGCGTTAACGTCCCACCTAAGCTGGGGGGCTAGTAATTGTTACTTCCATCAGAAATTTATAATCACATCCCATCGTATTCTTACAGGTCGAGAACCTACTACGAGAGGATGTATATGAATCAATCAATGCGCTGCTTGATCGAAGACACCATACCACATCGCCAAGGGCATGATCGCATAGCAACTCGCAGCAACTCACGAGCTCATTTCATATCTTGGAGTGCGAGAAAGAAAAATCAACCCCCGTAGTAGGGCATAGAGACGCCAAAAGAAGTCAATCTACCATCAGCACAGTAAAACGAACGAGTACAAGGAAGACGTGGAAGATGAACAAGTGTAATACAATCACTTACAAGAAATTTTATCGTCAATTTATTTATTTTAGCAGTATTTATTTACCTTCGCCTCACGTAGGCATATCGCATTAGCTATTTATTCACATTCGCCTCACATAGGCTTATATCAATGCACTTTTGCTACCATTGAAATAATCAAATTCATTTTTGCTTTACTCTCAGTGATATTACATCTACACGAATCACCTATTACCATGAGCTCAATTCAATAACCTTACAAACACCTAGAGAGATATAGATAATCCATATAGCCTGGCCAGCTGGATTACCTAAGTCCCTTTAGCTGTTTCACGAGGTGCTACTTTTAAAACGTGGCCACGGACAAATATATTTAAGACCCCAGCGGTCCGAACAAAGGGCACGACCCTTAACAAAAACCTTGGGAGACTGATCCCCTCCTCAAGTACATCGCGTACAATGCTAAATGTAAATACATATAAGCAACGCATTAACTCTTGACAATGTCAAAATAAATAATTCAAGATATCAAACTTCAAATGTCAAACAAGGAAGAAATTCAAACGAAATAGTAGATGACATACCCATCTACATTAGCGATAAAAATAAACTAAGAATCCAAAAACAAATAAAAATGAGTTTAACTATCCTAGCAAATAAATCTAAACTCCCCCACTGCGGGCGGAAGACGTCCCCACAGTGGGATCATCAGCAACCATATCAGCCACAAGCTCTGTGCCTGTCCCGTCGACATCTACCTCATCATCCTCTCCATCCGAGATACCAGCCTCCATCCCTCGAATCACCTTCTCACTGATACCACCCGCATCGCGAAGATATTTGCGACAAGCATGCACTAATGGCTTATAGACCACAGCCAACGCATGCTCCTCAATCATAGCAGCACACTCATCACTACCTCGGAAGCTAAGCTTGGTTTCCTCCACGATGGACTCCCTATAAGCCGCACCACCTGATGTCGCGAGGAACCTCTTCCCCGTCGCCTTCTCAACTTCGTATTTCTCCTTGAGCTGATCATAGCACTCGTTCAACTTATGAACATCATCCTTATACGCCTTCGCGTCACCTCGGATAACCTCGAGCTCTTCTGTCCTTTGAGCAAGCTCCTCTGTCCTTTGAGCAAGCTCTTCCGTCCGTTGAGCAAGATCGGACCGCGCTATCTCCAACTGGCTTAGAAGTTCATCCTCACGCATCTGACTTCGAACTCGCTCCTCTTCCTTCCTAGCTTCCACATTCCTACCATGCTCCACGAGATATCTCCAAGTCGCTACCAACTAAAAAAAAAAAAGTTTTACACAAGGAAGAGAGGAAGTAACATTTAATCTGGTTTTAAATAAACAAGGACTCACCCGACATATGTCCCCACCGGCTAACTCCAACATGTGAGAAGGGCCCTTACCAGACATCCGAGCACGGTCATACTCCCGAACGAATCCCTCGGTACTCAACATAGGCAGATCATGGTCCGATACATCCCAATACGACTCCTTACCGTCGCGATTCACACCATAGGTAAACAATTGTTTCCCTCCCCCACCATGGAAAGCATAGGTCTCCTCTGGGTCTACCCGCGGACGCTTAGGCACAGCCACATACTCGGTATCCACCCTCTTTCCCTTGCCACGATCCCTCGTCGGTGGACGCCCCTCCACTTCACCAGCACTGCTACGGTCATCTGCGACTACTCGAGGAGTTTCTACATGGACCTCCTTACGAGGCAAACCACTTGAAGAACCTCCCAACGTAGAGGGTACCTTCTTCGATGCCTTCTTCGACGTCCCATTCGCCTTAGCTCGAAGTGCCGCAAAGGTGATACCCCCATCTACAAAAGATAACAAACACATAAGAGACATGAGGTATACACTACCAAAGAAGTACAAAAAAACAACAAAATAAAAAAAAAATAAAAATAAAAATAAAAAACACAAGTCAAGGCAACAAAAGGATATACGGTGCTGACCCTTCGCCTTTGGTATCAAAACCCTCGGGTCAAATTCCACATCACACAATTCCGACTCTTCAATCCTCTTCGCCATATTCGCAGTTATCTTGAAACTCTCGCACGTGGGATTCCAAACTACGGGAACGTCAAAAGTGGGAGCCCTCACATAAAAAAATGGGTCTTCCATTCCCCCAAAGATAACTTCACACTCTTCACGAATTGGTAAGGAACGCGAGGATGAAAACAAAAGAAAGGCGTCTTATTGGGCCGATGTAACGTAAATAACGCCTTGAACAAACTCACAGTCACAGGCAAACCCACTAGAGACACCCTATGGTGAAACACCTCGAACATAAGAATTGCAGTCGGAGTTAACTGACTGTACCCTATCTTGAATTCCTCACAAACCTTCAACAAGGTCGGATGCGGTGTAATCTGAGATGTACACGTCAAGTACGCCAAAAACACCGTATGAAATCCATCGGGTGGCGAGTACAAACGGTCGCCCTTCTGAGGCAACAACAACTCGACATTACTTGGCGCTCCAGATAAACGACGAATAGAGTGCAAATGCTCTTCCGTCAACACACTATCAAAATTAACTAAGTCCAAATTAATTGGCTTCTTTTTCTTTTGCCTCCTCTTATCAATCTCAATATCACCCGGCGGAATATCATCTTCCTCCTCCTCTTCATCCGTCAGCTCAACTTCACTACTAGGCACCGCATGATCACTCGCCGAAGGTGCTTGAATCGAATCATCGCTGTCACTACCGAAATCCACGACGCGACGCCCATAACGACGTCTACTAGAACCATCTTCAACAACGGTAGAGCGAATATTAACATTACCACTCGTTTCTACATCGTCACTCCAAGATTCAATAATTTCTCGCCTTGCGACACTTCGCCCACCAATTTCACCCGAAACGGGCCCAAAAACATGCTCTAACGCGCCCTCACGCGCGCACGTGACCCCAAAAGGGGCTGATTCACGCGCGCGCATGTCACCAGCTTTCTCCATAACACGTGCCGCATCCCTACTGGCGGAACCGCGCGCGTCATCTCCAACCAACGCGCCCTCACACGCGCGCGTGACCCCAAAAGGGGTTGATTCAAGCGCGCGCGTGTCACCCTTCTCCGAAACACGTGCCGCCTCCCTACTGGCCGAACCGCGCGCGTCATCTTCAAACAGCACATCCGACGCGCGCGCGCGTCGCTTGGGAAGCGCGCCCGACCTCAGCACATTAACGGCCACGCGCGCGCGTCTCTCAATCCCAGCGCCCGACGCGCGCGCGCGTGCCTCTTCTTCCGTACCCGGTGTGCGCACGTGGCTTCCTCCCATTGGGCCACGTGCGCTGGAATCTCTCTCTCCTCTCCTCAGCAGCCGGACCAGCCTCCAACTCGTTGGCTCGGCTCGGCTCCCCTCTCACCTCGAAGCGCGCAATCTCACGCGTTTGAGGCCGGCTAGAAGCACGGCTTGAGCCGATCTCTGCATCTGAGCCACCTACCAAGCCTATCTGCACGGATTTTCGGGCACCACCTACCGCAGATTCGATTTCCCCACCCGATACCACTACCTTCTCGCGCTCCATGCCCGCGGAACCAAAAGTTTTCTCGCCCCCTTCAACCGGATCTCGGAGTTTAATTCGCAAAGATTTCGACTTACCCGGGTTCGACATCAGAAATATTTTTACCCCGAAGAAACAATCAAGAAACAAAAAAATTTCTACTCTACCGCTATAGAATAAAATAAGAAGAGCAAATAAGAAGACCTAGAGTTAAAAATACATACCCATATTTATTACGCAGAAGTTGAAGTTTAATTATTTCTACCGCAAAAGGACTCTATTTATCTGGCCCTGGTATATTATTTATAACCTTAAATATATACCTCGCTGCCAAATAAATACAATTATCCCTTATTTAAATTAATGAATTATTTCACCGCCAACGGAAACTATTCAATCTACGACGCCATTAACTCTCGACACGACCCGGACCCCTCTACACAAGTCCCCATCTCGAATCGAGAGTTGGGGGGCTTAATGATATACCTAATTGGACCGGCCCAATGTGCCCCCAAATTTATCCAATAATTAGGCCCACTACACGAAAGCCCAAGCACTTTCAAAGTAAGGCCTGGGCCCAACAAAGAAAGCCCAACCCAATCAACGAACATATAAATAGATGTTTTACTCATTTGTAAAGGTACGTTCTAATTATTCACAATCGATCTCGAGTGTTATTCTCTCTACTATCTCTACGATCCGTACATCTGACTTGAGCGTCGGAGGGGTTTCCGGCGGACCAACCCCCGGCTTAGTTCACGTGTGCTCATTTCGCAGGGACCTCAAGATCATCAAGTTGACTAGCTACTGATCAGCTTTGCTCTCCCAG